GACAGAACAGAGTACAGACAATTATGCGAGTTGAAATATTATTAATATTATATTATGTCACGACATATATTTTGTGTAGTAAAATTACTAATAATATTTATAGTCTACATATAATGATTCACAGCTTCGTAAGGATTAACTTTAATGATACAATTCTATACAAAAAAGGCAAACTACCTCGAGTGCAAATTTTGCAAATTTTATATTTTAAGTAACAGATAAAAATATAACAATAAAATAATTCAACATAATTTTCTCAAATTTCAAAAATTTTGACCCGTCATCCCGAGGTACAAAATTTATTTCCGAGATAAAGAATTTCTCTAAAAAGAATTTCGTGTTTTGTTTTTTATAAACAAAATACTCCTGTCAGCGTAGTTGTGGTCATCTTTCACAAATCATACTTACTTTCTTTAAAAATAGGAAAACGGGATATATTTCTTAACATCTACGTTTTATTAAAAATACAATCTCTTAAAGCCCTTTTTGGAAAAGGAAACCCGTTTACAAGACATTTAAGTATACACATATATACAGTGAACACATAGCATTCGAAACTGAAACCTGAATTGCATAGGATGCACAATTGGACAACACAATTCTCTGAAATACCGTGACCTAGTTTTTCTGCGGAAATACGCACGTTGCTGCTACTGATAATAAAAAAAAGCTGCTTCAGCGTTTGTCATTAACTAGAAAACCAAGTAGTAAACTCGGAATAGTGCAGCGAGGACGTGTGAGCGAAATTCAATTATACGAGGAAGAAGGAAATGGTAAAATATTGAAACTTGTTTTACGATTCGACGTATGATCAGTGAATATTATAAAATTGAAAACTGAAAGGAATGTAGTAAATTGACAAATTCACATCCAAGATTTGATTTTTGTAGAGGATCACAATTGTCCATAAATTTCCAAATAAATTTGATCAAATGCAAACATGAGTGATCGATCTTTAAAATTATAGGTACTCATGGGACGAATGCAAAAATGTACGAATCGTTATAGAAAGGTCAGATGCAATTTTAGATACAAGTGCATCTAAAATTGCATCGGTAGTTCGAGAGTGTGTACACAAAGAAGGACATTCGAAGAAGTAGTTCTTCGTATAGGATACATGGCTCGAATAGCAAGGAAAAGTTTTGCATCAGTAAAGCAAATAAAAATAAACATTGCAATTTATACAAAAATATATAAACTTCAATTTCCACTTTTGAAATCTAAACTCGCTATTTTCCAATCACACATATTTAGAAAGGAATGGTGGAAATCGTAGATAGAATTCCATGCATTCGTGACCTGTGTTAATATGCAAAAAGATATGTAAAAAGTGTGCAAATTGGTATAACAATATTAATATTTACTTTCGTGTAAGACCATATATTTTACATATTTTATATTTTCAGGGTAATCAAAATTAACTATTTTTGAAACACATCAATTCAAAAACCTGTGTTGAAAATCGAATATGAAATTCTATGCATTTACGACCTGTTCTGACGTGTGAAAATATATGCAAAATGTGTGCAAAATTAATATGGTAATATTAATGTTTAATGTTCTGCGAGAGCATCTATTCTGGATATTTTATATTTTCAGATGAATTTAAATGAACTATTTTTCAATCATATCAATTCAAACCTTTGCAGCGGAAGTCGAGTACAGAATTTTATGCATTTGCGACCCGCGTTGAGGTGTAAAAACATATGTAAAACATGGACAAAATTAATATTTTTATTTCGTGAGAGTTCATATATTCTGCTCACGTTTTTCATATTCGTATGCGCCACGAGTGCATAAAATCTGCAGTCTAGCAATGACTGATAGAAATATGTATAAGTATCAATATTTAATTATTTTGCATGAAAAACAAACAGTGTGAGGACGTTAGGAATAGCACATATGTACTTTCAATGGGACTGTGATCTAAAACTCACAGCTTTGACAGTGGCATTACTGGCTCTGATATAATACTCCAGTTACATTAGCTATTCTCTTGCAGCCACCTGACCTAAATCCGATTGAGCACGTATGGTGGGAGTTTGAAAAACGGCCGCGAAAGCGTCATGTAAGATAAAACAAACATCTCAAATAGATTTCGAAGGAAGAATGGAATAATATATGACATAATATGAGTTAGACTTTAGTACGTGCTATGTCTAACACTAATTTTTAATTAGCTTTTTCACGACTTGAATTAATTGGTCTGAAGAACTCTTGTTGAAGACGATTAACATAATAAAAATCACACTGTGTATTTGTGGATACTTACAATTGCATAATAATAGATTTTCATATATTAAAAATGAAAATATGAAAACCACGATGTAAGTAACCTTTTCTTATTTTGAGTAACATGTCTTTTAATACTCTACAAATTAATATTTTCAAAAAATTGGCTTGCAACACAATAGCATCCATCCCTTGAACCATATTAAAATCATACACTATATATTTGATCATAAATACAATTTTGTATTCATAAAAGTTCCATAAAATTCAAGAACAACAGAAGTCCTGCATCGTTGATCATTCCACGTTCCATATGTTTGAATACACTCATGTTTCAAATTCAAAAGAACACTTGACATTAAAATTCTCATTCATCTCCTTCATCACACTAATAGACCATAAGTGTCGATAAACTTCACGCTGGTGGGTTAAAAAAATTTGATAAATTTCACAGGGTGAAGACTACCAGTTTTATGGATGATACAAGATGGATGATCCATTATTCTGGATTTGGAAGACGTGACACGAAGACACCGAAGGACTAAATCTACGCGGCACACATATGACGACAATTTAGTGGCGGTAAAACACGGCATTACTTTCGATAATAGAATATTGATTTCCAATTAATCTCAAGAGGATGAGCCATTGAATTTTAAACCGGGTTCACTTCAACGTCTATTATAATGCGTGCACGATATACATACATATATGGGTTGCAACCTAGTTGCGAAGGCGGAAAATCTCACCGGGATGGCTTTCTCTTCAACGAGAAAGCTCGAAAGAAATTTCTTTCTAAAGTTTCCAACCACGGAACAACGTCATGTTCTGGAATTATTTCTCGTTCAATGCTGTTCGATTTTTGAAAATGATAAACTTCGAACAATTTTTATTTGTTTCAGACCGTTGCGAATGTTGAAATGGATTCTACAATTCGTTCACTGATTCTTTTGTTACCAATTTGGTCAATAGTTCTAGTTTTGTGATTTGTTTTCTGTTTTACAAGGCGTTCCAAAAAACTGGACACATAGGAAATGTTAATAAATACCATATATGGAAAATTTTCCTTCTTTCTCACGTGTTCAGATTTTAGGGACGCTCTCTATATGTTTTATTACCGGCAACAATAAATTTCAAGAAAAAAACACTTGATAACTATCCATTTGGACTGGTATAATATTTTTGTGAAGTTTAGAGATACTAAAGATAGTTTTATTTCAATTTTTCATGTATCTAATCTTTAATTTGGATTACCATGATGTATTTTATAATTTGGACATGATGAATCATGTTTTCTTTACAATCCTAAACTTCTCTTCTTTGCTCTTATACTTTTCAATTATTAACCTCCTATAAAATAAAAGGTAACGTAACGGTTTGTCTCCTTTTTACCTTTTTAATTTTTATGATGTTTGTAAATATCTGTTAGCTTTTACTTCAATACTTTAGCGAGAAGGGTGCAAATATGAGGTCGAAACAATTAATAAAGATAATCAAACACCCCCTTAAATGATACAATTGACGATACCATTCTTTGTAATTGGATACTATACTTCGGTTCTATTTCGAAATATCTTTAATTTTCAATCTTAAATCTCAAAACCTTAAAAGTGAACGACGAGTATTTAACCTACTGAAAGCAATTATAAGAAACAATTTCAATTACCTTTGAAGTTTTATATTCTTAACCGATAAAGTAACCATACCTTATCTATTAATTCTTTTAAAGAATGTGTATTTCCCAGACAGAATAATAAAAATTTTCTCGATAATAAAGAATTCAAGTGGCGCGTGCATCTCATTTAAGATAAGTAACAACTACGTCGTTGAATTTGCACGGGTACGCTAATGAGAAAGATGATAATACGGAAACGTAATCCTCATTAATCCTAAGTTTCTGTTGTTCAAGTATATCGTATCTAAAAAAACGTTTCAAATACAAATATACGAGTTATCTCGAGAAACTTTCACGAAAGAAAAGATGATTAAAGTGAACGATAACAATTTCATAACTAACGAAGGTTTGTTCATAAATCTTTTATACAGAGGATTTGCCTGAATTTATGGAAATGGTCAATTCTTCGTGGAATAATTAATTAGACTTGCAGAAAAACTTCTTATGCACGAAGTTGTTGAGTACTTCCTCGTTGAAAAAATCTGTTTGGAATAGGTATATTTAGGTTTATCTGATAATTTTCTAAAATTAATTTTTTCCTTCGTTGAATTTGTTAATCACTTTGTAAGTAATTTCAAGTAAAAAGTAATTTACCATTAATTCCTGTTATTCTAATTCCTAAATTCCGGATGTAATACAAAATTATTATAGCATACAATATTATATATTGGGTTGTCCGGAAAGTTCATGCCTATTTTTAAGAAAAATTCAAAGGCATATTTGAATTTTTATGTATATTTATTGAATTTCATATGTACCATTTTGTTCCACAACCTTTCCACCTGTTAAGGAATGTACACATGTTATTTGTTTTCAGCCATTCCGATATATTTAGATCTGTACCGCTGACTAAAACTCGGCATGGACTTTCCAGACAGCCCAATACAAAAATATTTCTATACTGTTTGTGAATAGTATTATTAGTAGAGAAAACATTGGAATCGGAACATATTTTATAGCCTTTGAAAAAAATTACTAAATCATGCTTAAACTTTTGGCCGTGATGGCAGAAAGAGCTAGTAATAATGGGCTTAGTTCAATTTTATAAGAAAAGGTTTTATTTTCTAAAATTTATGAGAATTGAGTCACTTACCGCGTCTTCCACCTTGGAGACGACATTCTCAACAGCATTCTCCACCGACATCCCGATGGCTGATGCAGCTTGCTCCTTTCTAGACATGTGGCCGCGGAAGGATGCCTGGATTTTTGTTGCAGCGTCGCAAAGCTCTGTCAATGGCAGAAAAAAGTCTTCTTTAAGTTGTTGGCCACGAAGGAAGCCGGGATCGATATGCTGTCTACTTGTCAGGTCGAAGGAATAGGATTGGAATTGACTAGGATTCGAACAGCTATTTCTAGATCAAAATTTACTTTTAAGTTATCAGGTTCTACTGTGATATTTCCATAAAGTATTAGGTTGTCCTAAAAGTTTCTTTCGTGAGTTGCATTCAATTATTTTCTGTGGTAGTGTTTATGTAAATAGACAATCTAATTTCTTAGACATTGATGCTGTAACAGTAATGGAGCGAAATGAATTGTACACAATTTTGTAATGTAACATAAAACATAAAATATTGTGTATGAATTAATTAATAATAAAACGAAAGAAACTTTTGGGACAACCTAATATTATGAAACCAAAGGAATTCTGTGTTATTTTACTTTGAATTAAAAATTTGAATGTTTATCATTTAATAGTGAGATCTGGTTCGCTATTTAATTTTGTAGATTCTTGCTAGCTTCAGTGGTTATTAGAATCTTAATAGGCAATATAAATTGTTTGCTATATTCAGAAATTAATTAAAAAAACATATGTATTATGAATGTTAAAATTAAATCTAGCAAGTAAATTTTATACGTAAAATGACTAATAGAATGTATCTTGTCAATATTTATATTTTTATCATGAATACTGTACCTACATATTTTGTTTGATTACTAAACTTTTCATCAAAATCCTTGTGCCTACCAAATATGTATATCACTACGATTATAAATAAATCAATATAAATAGAATTAAACAAAATTCTGTATCGTACCGTGATTGAAATTGACTGACAAAAACGTAATGTCCTAAAAAGACATCACTCATTTCCTCTACCTTATACGTCATTCAATTTGCAATTATACAAATAATTAATTCTCCATTATTGCCAACGTATTTTCGGGTTTTACGATATCGAACGGTCAGAATTAATTTTAATATTTCCATAAATCTATAAATTCTCCACACTCCACCATATGTGCCTTCTTTATATTATAGAAATCAGCGAAGCTTTTTGTATAGCATTTCTTAACGAGAAATCGCGCAAAAGCATATCTGGATTCTGGAGAATGAATACAGATTACTGTATGGAGGTCATCAATTTCTATGCAAACGGGCCAGTCAGAATCAAGCACTGTTGATTTCGTTGAACCGTGACGACCACTTTGAAAAAAAAGCTGAGGCTGACCTAGTTCCGAATCGAGGTTGGGTTCGAAACTCGAAATTCTGCGAATTCATCTGACTTGCGGTTGATCTGCTCGTGACACGCAGTTAGGCTATTTGCATGGCTAGTTAACTTACGAACCGAATCACCGACACTACCCATTCCAAATTAAGCTTTTTCGCCATTGGTGTACCATTCATCACGCGCGTTCACAATTATGCTAGTATTAGGGGTTCCATTTGATCAAATTTACTCTGACGAGCAATAAAAAGCTTCACTTTAATCATTTATTCCGTCTAAAGTGGTTAAGCTTGAATTAAAAAGAATATGTAATCTTACTTCATTGCTATCTATAAACATGAAAAATTGTATTCTTAATTGTAAAATTGCACGGACTTAATTGTAAAATTAAGGATGACACTTTGACGTTTCCAGTAAGTCTATACAAAACGGAAAGTTTTACACAGTTTTGCGTACTTAATTCGTGCCGTCAGCTGTTGCTTATCTACTCGACGAAAAAATAGCAGAACGTGAAAACCAGATGCTGGATACACGGTTCAATAATTTACGCCGCGTGTTAAAAGTACTTAATTACTTTGGGAACTGCGTCGAATTTGTTTTACGTGGGTGCTATTTTATATTGAAAATGTTAGTAAATTTGAAAGAGAAACAAGTAGAGTTAACGATAACGTTAAAATTCTCATAAAAAGAAAAAAAAATAAGTTTGTCTCCAGTATACAGATATTTAATTCTGAAATTGATAAATGTTGCAAGACGCAGAATAAACTACACTGCACTGGGTACATATAATACTTTATTATATTTTATTATAAACGCATGTTAGCGAGGTGGCGTCCTAATTCGCACTGATTCGGACTGGGTAGTTGTTCACCGCATGCTCGCAGACGGAAAAGTTAAACAAACGATTGACGACACCACATAGATCGGTATTATAGACACAGATACGTCGGTATTACAGGGTGTCCCAAAACTCGGGGAGGAGCCGGAAATGGGGGGTAGCTGAGACGATTCTGAACAACAATTTCCTTTGCAAAAATGTCGGATGGGGCTTCGTTGAGGAGATATTAAGCGAAAACCCCGACCAATCAGAGCGCGCGTAGACCGTTGGAGCGGCCGCGGTAGCGTAGGTTACGCGCTGGTGGCCGCGCTTGCACGCGAGCAAGTGACTCGACGTGCATCGAAGCATCGACCTAGCGCGTAGCCTTCGCTACCGCGGCCGCTCTAACGGTCTACGCGCGCTCTGATTGGTCGGGGTTTTCGCTTAATATCTCCTCAACGAAGCCCCATCCGACATTTTTGCAAAGGAAATTGTTGTTCAGAATCGTCTCAGCTACCCCCCATTTCCGGCTCCTCCCCGAGTTTTGGGACACCCTGTATATCTAGAGACGCGGTAGCGTCTCGGCGCCAAGTACATGAAAAATTATCCGTTACCGCGTATATATAGCGTTGGAGCTACCACGTATCTTTTGCAGGAGAGATGGTCCATTCCAACCTAACCTGAAACTTCTTTCTTGAATATCTCAACACGCCTGCAATGTTTTCTAAATTTAAAGGCATTTTTCTTATGTAAACCGCATGTAAGCTTTCGAATAAAACCAAAATCAATCAAATCGGTCCACGAACAACTGAGATATCGTAATATCATGTCATGTCATGAATCTGTCAGAAACGGTACTTTTTGTATGATTTTCCCGTCGTCAACCCTTAGCCAATAGGAGCTAAGCAAAAACCGAGCGTCGTTGGTCAACTCTCGGAATCATTCGGTTCGGCATGGCTCGTCACCATCGAGCGTCGAGAGTCGAAACAGATGTCATCATTCGTAACCTGCCAAGTGTCAAAAGTTTTTACACTATTACATTATTAATTATATTTATATCAGCAAAATGTTTTCAATTTAGACTTTTTATGTAGGGTTTAATAACAAATTGCAGCCAGTGTTGTAAAGTGTTGATCGATCTTGACTACAAGGTAAGTTGTTAAAATCTGAATTGCGAGATACCTTTATTCATACAGAAAACTGTTTTTAATGTAGATCCATACCACCGAAGTGTTTTGAATTTTAGCTTTTTATATAGAGATTGTGGAAATAGAGGGGGCCCACAGGATTGGAGATTAACAAATTGCTGCCAGTAAAGTAAAATGTAGATCAATTTTGATTACAAGGTAAGTCGTCAAAATTTGAATTGTCAGGTACATTCATTCATACAGAATAGATCCATACCACTAAAGTGTTTTTAATTTAGTCTTTTTATGTAGAGCTTATAGAAATGGAGTAATTTTCTCATTTCATCATTAACATTACAATTTCTTGCAGCAAGAACAAAAATTACAGGTATAAATAATAAATTATATGAAATATATATATATTCGCTTTTGTTATCCCCTCTTTCTTTATTTTACTCTATTCAATTAAAGAAACAAATAATAATTTAGACTTCTTATGTAGAGTTTACAGAAATATCAATGTTATTTTTATAAATTTATAATAGATTCTATATAATAAATGATTTGTAAAAAGAAGTGAGATCCGATAAAAAACTTCAACAAAGTAAAAAAATTACGCCAAGTACATGAAAAAGTGGAGGACTCAAGGAGTTATCATTGAAAAATAGAAGATCCCCATAAAAAACTACAAGAAAATAGAAAAAGATGTGAAATTGAAATAAGCTGCCAGATGATTTACCTAGATTTCCGCGGCCTGGAAGTCAAATGTTTGGCGTGGCCAGGCAAGGTCAAGGTGTCGATGAATAAGAATTGTTTTAAAACTCAAAATAATGAAAGTGTATTCATATTGTCAGACTTTTAAACTAATACAATATCTCTACAACAAATTTGAAAAAAGTTTACATGGAGCCTGAAAATATGAACTCTTATGTGGAATATATTCTGCTATTTGGAATTTGATAATGTTCGTCTTACGTCTAAGTTCTTTCGTTTGATATTAAAGTGTTCGATCACTGCTCGAAATTATAAATGAAGCAGCATATAAATTTGGACGGAAGCTTCTAGAGAGTTCAGGGAGTTGGATTAACTTCATCCCTTTCTAAGTCCTTTCATCTACCTCAGCAGACGGTGGTCTAACCTACTTCGTGACGGAGGATCAGCTTCGGATTTTTATTAGCGACCAGTTCGGATTCCAGCAGCATTTCATCACAATTTTTATACCTGGTTATCACGATGCGAACATTATTTTTTGCCTAGTAAGTAAAATTCGCGACTCGGAAGAGTCGATAACTTTCCTTATAATTTTAAGCATTTGGGGAGTCGAAAATAAAATATTTATGGATACAATCACTGTTATAATTTACAATATGTCGTATTTATTTAGCCTGTTTACTTATCTTCGCGTCTTTATTACGCTTAATAAAATGCAAAAATTCTATAAAAGATACGAATTTTGCAAATACCAGTGTAATGGACCCGGCACTTATCGAATTATTCTGTAAATATTGCGAGAATACTCTTACATTTAATATTTGGCGAACTTAATTCGAATACAGTTTGAATGTTTGATTATATAAACATTTTGCGTAATGATTAAATATTGAAATATTTATAGCATTTAAATAGTGTGACATGGAATGTGAATATCTTCTTGTTCCTTTCAAAACTCCATCTTCATTTAATAGACAAATAATTTTTGTTAATATAATATTTTTCATTCTATTATTTAATATATTAATACAATTGAAAATTACCAACATTTATATAACTTTAGCCTTTGTTCTATAATAATATGACTACACACAATTTTATTTTGCATAGGATAGTTGTATAAAT